CACTTTTGGTTTCGATGTTATAACGTTGACCAAAAAATAATAACGTGCGACCCTACTAACGCAAGTGAAGAGAAACCAATATTAAAGGTGTCTATCAGGGAGCTCCCGAAGAAAAGGAATTCGAACACCACAGTAAGTGATAATTCCTTGTTTCCTTTACGCCTTTTGAACAGTGCACATTTTAGATGATAAGTGCTACTAGATGACTCTGCTGGCGTATAATGATAGGAAATTTCTGTGAAAATGGTAGTAAGGATTGTTTCAGTTTTGCTCCTACTTTGTAACGGGAATCCTTTAACATGTTTCGTTAATTCGATCTTTTTTATTCATTTATGTGATGTACATTGATATTTCGTAGTGTGTTCTTCTCACATTTGTGCTGTAAGGATAACTTGCTTAAGACCAACCAACCTCGACCCAACCTTTGACTTAACTTAAAATTACGTTAATCATAATGCAACAAAAATTTAAAGCAAAACTCTAATTCATGCCTACTCATCAACTTTTCGTTTTGCCATGTGTTACGTTGACTTTGGGTAAACCTAACAAAATGGATTAAGATAAGCACGCGGTAAGCTTAGGCAAAATGGAAGTGGGTCGGGGTGAATATCGGGGTTCTTATATACCTACTAGCAAAACGCAAAAAAGGAAAAGTAGTAATAGTAAACTGGATAGGCGCCATAGTGTCTTTGGTAAATTTTAAAAGAGGTGAGAGAATACTTACCAAAAAGGAGAAACAAGGCACACTAAGAGACCCGAGAAAACAACGAATCTATAATCGATAAATAAATCGCAAACACAACGTAGTAAGTACAATTCGATTGTGTCGAAAACCAGTATAAAATCAAACGTTATATCAAGGAGTCGACGAAACATTAAAAAATCCCTTTGAACTTCGGGTGGCAACCTTGTGAGCTCAAAAGGGCGCGTTCAGAATCTGTAACAGACAACAACACAAACAAACAAATAAAAAGGGTAGTGAATCGCGCGGCACATAGAATATTGCGTAAGCAATTTTAACGTCTGACACTAAGGCAACCGTATACTAAAACTCTAATTAATACTCAATAAGGGTCAATAACTTGAATGAATTTACACTAGCAAAAGTAAAATTTTAACTCGACCACGGATTATCCTTACAACATCTCTCCAAAAGCATAAGCGTTGCCTTAAATTCAAGAGAACTACTTTACGATGCACAAATAACTAAACAACAACATTGAGTCTCGGAAATATTTCTTTGTAGCGGCACAGGTAGTGTAAGTAAAATCAGATATATAGGAGCAATACAAGATCTTTAATCTCCAAGGTTTCGTAATACTTTCAGTTACAGGAATTATATTGCAATTTCCAAGTATAAACTTGAAGTAGGTCATGTAGGTAGAATTACATGTTTGGTTTCATTGAAGTGGCGAGGGGTCTGCCGGTAAGGTAGAAACTCATCTATAGCGTGGTTGGATGGCAGCCGAACTCCCGAACTTGTGCAATATTGAAAAAATCCAAAATTTTGCGGTTTTCACTCAGGAATATTGACGTAGAACGCACAACCAGGTAGGCAATAATGAAGACAAAGTAAGCCACAAGTAAGAAACCTAAAAAATGATTATTCAAAGTCAAAGGCAATGCACAATGTTTGTTACATACCGAAAACAGCCTTAGAACTATATCCACAACAAAGTATAATAACAAGAGAAAAACTTCACCACACTGATACAAAAATTCCAACAGGCAGACTATTGGCGGCAACCAAACCGACCATTCGGATGCTGTAAAGCAGCTTCGTGATGCGAAACCAAGAGCGAAATTCAAGACAAATCATAGGGACAAACCCCAAAATCTTAAAAATGCAACAGCAAATAAGACCGAAGTATATTTAAAGGTACTCCAGAGGGAGTAACAAAATCAACCTACAACATCGTCGTTACACACGTTACCAATCGTGTCACACACGAACGTTACCTCGATTTTCCGACCAACCTACCAAAAACAGACATCCACATGCATCCCTGCAGTAGGACAATTTTTGGTCGCTCCTACACAGGCATCATAAAGTTGAAATGTCAAACCCGGGTTATATTTTGCGAGGTTTCCGTTGAGGAATTGCCTGAGTCGGTATTAAAGTTCAGGTTTTAGGTTCTGTACACGGTAAGTGCCTATAGATTTTCCGTCTTTTAATTCGTCAGTTGATCTAAAAGTAACGGTCTTATTTGGTAGGGTCCTATGAGTTTGGGAGCAAGTTTGCTTGCATGTCTTTCTTCATGTTTTCGTAGATCTGTTTCCAAGGATAGTACAATGACATCTACTAACGCGTTTATTTCAAGGCTTCTTAAGAAATATAACGGTCAAAAGTTAAATAAAACGATAATCATTATAGATGTAATGATTGATGTAATAATTGAACGATGTAGAATTTTTTTCCACATTTGAAAGTGCAAAAAAAGAAAGCAGGTTTCATTTGAAAAAATCAACGTTGTAAGGTTCGAAGTTATTAAACTTGACCATTAATTTTAAAACACCCTGTAGAAGGACGATCAACATTTAAATCATTCGCATGTAGCATCACATCAGTATTGTTGATCGAGGGGATCAAGACAAGCATTTTTTGTAAATAAACCGAGGGTCCCACGTGTTTCGTTTGGGAGCCATCCCCAAAGCAGTGGTCACATTTGGATTTCTTCTTTAAATTTTTTCTGAGCAACCATAGGTGTTACAAAGATGGGTGGCGCGTCTTTGAATAGGTTTTTGGGTATGCCCTATCCGATTTTGGAAAAAGAATTTTTAAATTCCTACGACGAAATGGCGCACTCCTACTTGGGGGTGCGAAAAAATTCTGATTTCGAAGAAATTTGGGGGTTTTTGAAAATCAAGAATCTGGAATTAGTTTAAAAAAAAATAAATAAAATAAAAAAAATAACGAAAATGGAGAGAATTTCACGAAATTTGTTGTGCTACTTGATGACTAATGAGTTAAGGAACAAAATTGTCGAACAGTTTTTTAAAATCACTTTTAAAACAAAAGATACTCATTTGAAGATTGGGCTTTCGGGTTACAAAGTGTCCCCCGCCTACTAGCGAGTGATCTAATTTCGCATGTAGTAATTGAAAATGTCGCAAATAACAAAAAAATAACGATTTAATTCGACATTACGATACTTGCAATAATACTTATTGATTGTAACGGAACTCTACTTAAATAGTTAGTTGTATAACTAGAGAAGAAAGTGGAGTTTTTAGACTCGAGTTCAAAGTTTGACATATGAGCGTAGCGAATGTGTCAATTGATCGAGAGTTGAAAAACACTTTCTTCTCAAGTTTTACACATAATTTTTTCTGAAACTACAATCAAAATTGAATAATTAGCGTTTGCAATAATGAAGTTTGACACATAGCAATCTAGATACATGCATTGAGTAATCGATGTTTCAATTTTAAATGTCATTATTAAGATTAACGCAGCAATTGTTTTTTATTTTCCTCGCTAGAGAGGAAAATTACATCTCCTTCATCGTTTTTAGAGACGAAAGTAGTGTTTCTAAAGTAGTTTCAGAAAAAAACATTTTCCCATCACCCGCAGCCACGGAATTTTTGGAATCGAATTTGCAGACTTAAATACCATGATCGACATATCGAATTTTTTGTGATCATTTAATCTTAATATCGATTTAAAATCGTTATTTTTTTTATATCTATTTGCAACAATGCGAAATTCGATCACTTACTAGTAGGTGGGGGACACTTTGTAACCCGAAGGCCCAATCTTCAAATGAGTATAACGTTTGTTTGAAAAGTGATTTTAAAAAACTATTCGACAATTTTGTTCCTTAACTCATCAGTCATCAAGTATGTGCATAACAAATTTCGCGAAATTCTCTCCATTTTCGTTGTCCGATAAGGGTGCCCCCTTTCGTGGTACGAATTTTGAATTTTTTTTTTTTTCAAAATCGGATAGGGCATACTCGAAAACCTATTCGAAGACGTGCCACCCATCTTTGTAACTCTTATGATTGCCGAGAAAGAAATCCAAATTTCACTACTTCTTTGGGGTTTGCTCCCAAAAGAAACACGTTGGACCCTCGGTTTATTTGGAAAAAGTGCTTGTCTTGATCCCCGCTATCACCCAATTTTTTTTTACATACCGTCATGTAACACCCTGTATAGTGTAGGTACAGTGTGAACACGTAAAAGTACTCAATTGTAAGACTTGAAAAATGACGACATAACATATTCAAGGTAAACATACCCCTTAATGCAAGATAAAAAAACGTGTAATTTATTAACGGTTAGTAATTTTAATCAGTAGTCGTATTTATCTTGAATTACTGTCAATTCGATATCTCTATAAATTGTCTTTCATTTGTTCGTTCATTTGCGAACAGAAAGTATGTAAACGAAAAAACTTTTTCTCTTGCTCTCGAGAATTAACAACTAGAGAAAGATCGGAAAAATTTCTGGCTACTTTTAAAGCTGATTGCACACAGTTTTTCGTAATTATAATCACCCTTACACTTTATAAATGTACTTCGAAAAATCTTTCTCGCCAGAATGCCTACTTATACTTTTAAAGCTTGCCTAATTGAGAAGAAACCTGCCAGAATTTTAGATCCGTTTTTATCGAATGATTCATCCATCCGCATTTCAAAAGGAGTTGAATAATTAACCGGGTGGCACCTTGAACATTCACAAAAAAGACGAATTTGTCAAATTTTATTTATAATCCCACTGCATGTGGCTGTCCAAAGTTCGTATACGGAGTATAAATTTAATTTATACGGCTCAAAAGTTATGGCTTTTTAGATGAATAAGAATGTTTTTACGTTGATCCCAATTCCCGAAGGTTTTACATTTTTTATGGTCGCGTAGTTCAAATTAAGCTCCGCGTTTCTTTTTTGCAGCGCGCTCATCCACCTGTATATAATGAGACGCGGAAAAACTCTGTTGAAAGATAAATAAGAAAAAGATAAGGCATCAGTACAAAACGGTGAAATGTACTTTTTATTTTCAGATGTGTGCCCTGTCCGACGGAATGCGACATCTGCGGCGAGGGAGGATTATGCGAAGCAAAACGAGATCTGTACCTAAGAAGCATAATCCTCAGCTTAGAGCTTGTGTGCATGTTTATCACCATCATTTTGGCCTTAATTGTGTTTAAGCAAAGGAAATGCAAAGTAAGTAGGTTTTATAATTAGATTCCAACTTCCATATCTCGGACCGTTCGTTTTAGGCTATAGCATCGGGGATGTGGACGATATTGGAGACCGTGCTTTTGGGAATCTTTTTTCTCCACGGAATGGTAAGCTATCAAATTTATTCTTTATGAAGTGTGTAGCATACGTGTATTAACTTTTATCAAAAAAATTATTTTCGCGTCGGATTACAGGATAACATATTTGATATATCTGCAATAGAATCTCGGTATTTTTAGCTTCCTCTCTTTTTCTCTTTCTTTCGGTATGTCCTGTCCATATATATTTCTCGAATGAAAGAAATTTTAAAATATCAGTAGTAGTCTGGACATGGGGACTGTCTAGGATAATGTGTCCTTCGTGGTACATATATCCAGGACATTAGTGCGCAACACGTTTGGGATAACAACTAATTTGAATCCTTTCAGGAGAATGCTCCCTAATGTTTTTCCATGCGTAAAGGAAAATACGAGCTGGATAATTCTGAAGACCCAAAGATCTGCCCCTCCACTAATTTGTTCACTCTCCATAGCTGTCGGTCCTGCCCAGTCTCATCACCTCTTTGTACTTTAGACAGCCCAGTCTTCTTCTGCGCTCTGAGTTCCAAATGTGGGGGGGGGGGGGGATACTATTTTACCTCCGTAATTTTTCAGTATAGAACACTATTCATAACTGCGTTGTTTCCTGGGTGCATGCGAAGACCTTTTCCGACCATTTTAACGTGTGTTCCTGTTCTCTCCCACAAACTACAATGACATCTCGTTTGAGAAATGTCCTAATTGGGTCGGAGATGCCTTTATCTTCGTTAAAAACCTGGCAGGGATGTAGGAGTAGTGATGGCACGAACAAACAGCAAGACAGTGAAAGAGTCTGCAATCGCACAAACTAAAAATGCGTGAGTTGGAATTTCAAAATCTAGGGAACCAAACAATCCGGAATTCCGTGTCGCTAAACAAACTTGCGAGACACATGATTCAATTTGAACAGCTTAAATTTTTTTCAGTAGGTACATGAAATTGACTTTTTGTTTATGGGGTCGTATATTTTAAATAGTTCCAAGTTTCAAAAACCACAGCTTATTTTAAAGCTTTTTACGTGAATTTCCAATCTTGCCCCAAAAATTTAAGTGACCATCAACATCACCGGCAATTTCCGCGTGGTTCCAAAATCCAAATCCACAATGAAGCGACGTACGTAATTGATCAAATTCCGCAAGCGTCATCAAGACATTCCCCACTGCTTTTTTCAAGCCAAAAACCAAACACGGAATTTACACCAATTTTTACGTCAGCAACATTTCTCAAACTTGATTAAACAGTGAATGCCATCATCACCATCTTACCCTCTGCAACACTAGAATTGTACCAATTCCAAAACTAACGACGATAAAAGCGAATAAAAATTCCTACTTTGATTCAAATTCCTACACCGATCCAATTGTTACACTTAAACCAAACTAACCTTTACAAATCCCACCCTTACTAAAAACGTTAGAAATAAAAATTACCTTAAACTTAAAAAAAGCAAGGGTTGCTACGCTCCATCTGCTGACCATACATCACTGAAGAAGTTATAAACAATCTATCCAATGGTGTAAATAGTAATTGTACAGGGTGTTTAAATAATTGTAAAGCCTGACTTCAAAAGTTAAATAAGGTTTTGTTCTTTTTATTTATTTATGTATATATTTATTGATTTATTTATTTCTAATTTATTTATTTATTTATTTATTTATTTCATTATATTATTTATATTATAACTACAACACCCACAAAACACATGTTCAAATAGCTCAAAATAAAACAAAATTAAATTGTATCTCCTAGTAGACATTCGGCATTTGCTAGAAGAAGAATCTTAATATTGACGTATTTTTTTTCAATTTGAGGGATTTGATGGCCTCGATAAAAGATTCCAAAGAATTTATTACACAAATTTTGGTTCACACCTGAAATTATGAGCGCGAACAGAAAAATCTGACATGAAAACTATATCCGGGTCGCACAAAGGATTTGAATAAACAGACAATTAATTGATTGACAATGACACAAATTTATTCCGAAACACATGATCACAATTAAAACTCGAATTAAAACGAAATCCTTGCAACACAGAAATCAAAATGATCTGGTCGTGGAAGGTTTTGCAATATTCAGGCGCACTTATCAAAGACATAAAAATAATCTCTTGACAGCTTTATTAAACTGGACCCAATTACTCGAATTCGTTTGATAAATGAGATTAAACAAATTTTCGATGACTGCTCACACGGTAGAAACGTTTAACTTTCACTAAACAGACAACTGGTTTGTTTATTCACACGGACAAACCGTTTTATAAACATTTACTACTTCATTTGACCATAACTTAAATCTTTTATTAAGATAACTTAACTTATTCCTCACACTTTATTTCGAAACCGACGAACCGTGTCTTCAATCAATAACAAATAGGGCCAACTGCTCGAGAAATTAGCCTATGCAAAAACGTTGCCGTCGCCGAACTCGCAGTAGCAACTTCGTTTTTACGTTGATTCCAGTATTTAACGGAACAGCACTTCTACTGTAAAATAATCTTCGATTTTCAAAAAACAGTCAATCGCAATTAGACGCCCACTTTGAAAGAGCGCCCTAAACGTCCCCACATAACGCGCAATTTTTCGAAACACCTTATCTCTTCGAACAGCCATAAAAACACGTTCGTTATTTTAATTTCGCCCGGTAAAAACTTATCGCAAACGACACTGAGATAACAAATTCAGGCACAATAACCAACTTTGTACTTATTCGTAAATAATCCTCCAGATTTACACTAAATCAAATATTTTCGTATATAGGGTGTCCCGTCATTATTTTTTTACACAACAATATAATATACGATATAATATCCAATAAAAAATTGCATGGGCTGTGTGACCAGTTTTTACCTTCGCCAAAAATTCACATTATTATTCACATTTACTGTCACATGTACAGTGTGTAACATATAAGTAAGTTAAAAAATTTTGAAACTGGCGTTAGATTTTCCTTTATTCCAAGCGCCTATGTATCAAATTTCATTCAAATACTTTTATAAATAAAAAAGTTTGCAATTCAGTTTATAAATGGTCGAGATGCGAAAAGGGCACTGCGTATTATATGGCTAAAGCTATGCCCATATTGAATTTCATGCAATTCCTTTCATAACTAACGGAGATGTCAAAGCGATCGGACATTTATAAACAAAGTTATCGTTCACACGGACTGATAGATGGACAGACAGACAAAGGAACATACGGACAGAGCAATAGACAGACAGACAGACAGCAATACAAAATTATAAACGATCTCTAGGATCGTTAATAAACGGCAAAAGTGTAAAATTATGGAACATGTAAAAAACGGTTTTTTGGTTTTTTTACAATAACTTTTTTAGCAATAAACGCAGAAACGAACCAAATTATGAAAAAAAGTAGAACGATAGCTCTTAAGATAAAGAACTAGTAGCATCTCAACGAATGAGCGGACGGACGGACGGACAAAGTGGCCACAATAGCGCGTTCTTTTTATTTTTGTGGAAATGCGCTAAAAAGGCAGTAGGAGGATCAAAACTTTGTTGTTAATTAAAACAAAATGTTTCATCGCAAAAGTATAAATATTTGCGTTATTTTTTTTCTCAGAACTCATCATCAAAGTAGAGGTGTGGAATTAACGGCTTTAACCTAACTTGTTGAATATGCCAATTCTTCAATTCAACAATTTTGATAAAATTCCTGTTATTTCTCTCACAAGAATTGCGGGATGAAATTTCTCATCATTCGTGTTTGCCAATAAACGAAATTCTACGTTGTATACTGAAAAGTTCATTTGAAGGGTGGAGCATTCTAGTACTTTTATTTCCTGTTCAGCAGTAATAAGCAGATGCATCGTCGTAATGCTGTCGTTTATACAGCAGTTACCAGAGTATTTCAATTTTACTAAACAATCAAAGGGTTAAGTCTGTACTGCACGAGCAGTGTATGTTGGAAATTGAAGTTATAAGCCTCTTACGCGATTGGAGATGCGATACGGCGACGAGTTCTTAAAGAAGGAAGTCTCGTTTTATGCCTTTCTCTCATTTGGGTACGTCAGAACAACACAGGCTTTGTTCAAAACAATATAAACCGCATCATTAAAAGAAATTTCGGATGTCATTATTCTCGTTTAATTATTCCAAAACAGTGTACCACCGTTACACCCCTTCATTAACAAAACGTTTTTGTAGCTCTCATTCTTTAGATAATGCAGTAGATATCGATTTAGTAATTTTTAAACTAAAAATAGTTACTCGGTATGGCGACCCTATTTATTAATATGTCGTTCTTTACATCATACCTTTCACTTATAATGGTTAAGTGAACACTCGCTTGTCAGTGTCGGCGAGAGGCGGGGAACAATTTCCGAATATAACAAAGCGGAAAACGAGGAAACAAATTTATCATATTGATTGGTACCATCTGGCCTTTTCTGTTCCACATTAGCACAGAAGTGGTTTTTCATCTACTTATATTAAACGGAGACTTGGCAGTTTATATAGGATTTTGAAATAAACTATTGTTCTGAGATGTTACGAAATACAAAATGTAAAGTACCGCCATTACTGTTTTATTTGGCACGTTTCAGAGGCCATTTAAAAGCGCACGTGGTGTTTCGCGTCGTTTATGGGCTATTTAAATTAAAATTTCATGAACGTAAATTACTGGACCGCAAATTCGGGGGGTCGTGGCACATCAAAAGGGATGGACACTGATCGAACTTAGCCCCGAAAGTTTCTTCTCAAAATTAATTTATCCTTCATTATAAACCTCGAAGAAGCCTTCTGTTTTGAGAACGATGCGCTAATATTCTTAATAACTATAATTTGTTTGAGGTGCGGGTTTTTAAATATGCATAATGAAATTTGTGTCGATATTGTTGTATGTATGGATGTGTTCAAATTTTACCAAAATTCAAAATGGTGTCGACTACCGGCCTCATGCGATGTGCATCGGACCTAAAACAGTATTTTCGCTTGACGAGGAGATTTGAAGATAAAAGTTATTACCTGAAAAACAAATCGCACCAGGAGTTCGGGTCACGGCTTTCAATCA